CCCAGATGGTTACAGAGGATTCTTCAGTGCAGGTCCCAGATGGGACAGCCTGTGACATGACACCACAACAAGGGCTTGCTTTTGCGGTTATCATAAACAAACAGAGTAAGGAACCCTCTCCTCTCTGACATTAAGAATAATAACAACAACAACAAAATTAAAAATAGAGATTCCACTGGACCCTGGGATCACTCCTTTGGGTGAGAGACAACATATTACAATGGCCCCTGCACACCATACTTATGGAAGCACAACTCATCATAGCTACATCTTGGAAGCAGCCTGGATGTCCATCCACAGATGAATGGATAAAGAAAATGTGATGTTACACACCATAGAGTACTACTCATCAATAAAGAATAAATTTGAGTTGTTTGTGGGAAAAAGGATGTACCTTGAGATCATAATGCTAGGTGAAATAAATGAGACACAAAAGGTTAAATATCACATGGGTCTTCTTATATAAGAAACCCAAAGTATAAATAATATTGGTCCAAAATAAAAGATAGATGATGAGAAACAGAGACATGGGAGGGAAGGAAGGGGAGGAAGAAATAAAAAGTGGTGTGATGGATACGTGCACCCATTATGGTGTGATGTGTATGTGCACCCATTCCTCACGCTAAATGTATTTATTACATACTGCAAGCACGATATAATAAAAATGGGAAGAATAAAAGAGAATAATGGGGGCTGGGGATTTAGCTCAGCAGCAAAAGCGCCTGCCTGGCAAGCGCAAGGTCATGAGTTCGGTTCCCGGTACCGGAGAAAAACCAAAAAAAAAAAGAGAATAACAATGAGCTGTGTGCGATGGCAATGCCTGTGATCCCAACAATCAGAGAGGCTGAGGCAGGAGGATTGCAGGATTGAGCCCAGCGAAAACAATTTAGTGACTTAGTAAGATTCTGTCTCAAAATCAAAAATAACTTTTTAAAAAAGAGCTAAGGGTGTGGTATAGTGCAAAAACCCTAGGTTCATTCCTAGTACTGCAAAATTAGTAGTAGTAGTAGTAATAGTAGTAATAATAATAATAACATTAAATAACATTTACTGGAAGATCATTATGTGCTAAGCACTAGGCCTGTATGCATACACTTGAAATAATCCATGGTGTAAAACACTACGCTCTGTACTTTACAAGTAAGGAACCTGACACCCAGCAGGTGAAGTGAGTTCACCTTGGGTTCCCCAGCTCATGGGTGCTGATGTAGTTGGCTTCCAAAGACTCTGTCCTGCTCCTGGTGACACTATATTTCTGCCGTGTAAAACTAAGCAAGATGGGTGAAAAATAATAAATAAAACAACTTGCAAATAATCATGTGTGGTCAAATAAACACCTTCTTATATTGGCATTCTCTTATTTATACCTTATGATCATTGTAATTGCTCCAAAGCTGTACAGATGCATTTTCCTCAGTTTACCTTTAGTGCCTTCTTTTCCTAGCCTTGGGGTCAGTGTGCTCCTTGTCATGCGTTTTCCAGGGCGGGGTCACAGGATATTTATTCTCCCTCATGACTAATAAAGCATTAAGCCATTTCTCTGATAGAGGACAAGGGGAAAAGGGACAATGGGAAAACTTGTAAACTGGTGTTCTGAACCTTAGCACAGTCTGTCTGGGCACTGACAGTAGCTCATGCTGCTTATCTGTGCGACTGGTGGGGCACGAAGGAAAGGAGAGAGTCCGCTTGCTCTGTGTTCTGGAATTGGGCAGGTAGGGATGAATACAGCAGTAGGATATGGATGCTTGTGTGAAGGATTTGATTTCAGGGGTGGGGAGGGGTTTAAAAACTGAAGTTACTCAGGGTCAAGTGCTGAACTGCTTTCAGTGAGCTCAGCTCAGACATCAGTAATGTACTCTTCACACACTTTCTTCCCAGACATCCCCAATGTCCAGTTTATAGCAAGACCAATAACTCACTTCTTGATCTCAGAAGCTACTTCTTCAATTCTCTTGACTTCAGCACCAAAAGGAGTTGTTTATTATTTATGGCAAATATAAAAAACAAAAGGACCCTCACAATCTGTGGCCCGTCTCAAGGTCTGCAACTCGTATGTGGATAATGCCCAGACTTCTGGAAGGAGGTAAGTGAATCAAATGTATACAGATGCCCATATAGAAATCGGTTTTTAGCAGTACTTATCGAGCATTTGTTTTGATAAACTGCTGCATGTGAGAGCTGTGGGGGTTCATGGAAACCTCAGAAAGCAAACTCAAACTGGAATCTTGGCATTTTGAAAATATTCAAGCCAATCAGCCAACCACAGAAAACAAAGGCTGATAACGCATATTGTTATCCATGTAAACTTTTCTCACATTATAAAACCAGATTTTATTAAGTAAAAAACTGTGATAGCCTGGTTAACATCTAGCTAAACATCCCATAAAATTCTGATAGATTGTGGATGCTGGTGCCGGGATTGCAGGGGCCCCCCTTGTTGCCATTTGGACAACAGCAAATACCTTAAGGAGGAAGGGGGAATTCATCACCCACTAAACCTCTCAGTACAGTGTGTGTAATCACTGTAGGCTCTTTTCCTTTGTTATTTCATAATTTTTATTTATTTAACTTTAATAAATTTTATTTTTATGTGCAAGTAATAAATGCAAATGCAAGTAATAAATGCTTTTCCAAGCAAACACAACAAAAAGATTTTATTTGAAAATCAATCCAGAGATAACTCTTACGGCTAGTTTCTAGCCATTGTTAAGCAAGCATAGTATTTTTTTAACAGAAATGGTAACATGACACAAAAATTCCACACCTCACCTCAAAATACCATGTTATAGCTTGTATCTAGATGTACCTCCAGAGTTTCATGTGCTTATAGGTAGAACTTTTGTGAGTGATTGGTTCACGGATGTGTGTGATACTGGATCATGGGTGTGCGACCCTGGATTAGATCACTGGTTTAGCATAGTTCTGGGTGTTGGATGATGTACTTACTGAAGAGGGAAGACCCACTCTGTATGTGGGTGGCACAAGCCAATAAGCTTGTAGCCTGGACAGAAGAAAAAGGGAAAGGAAGAGGATGCGGTGCTGCTTCCTGCCTACCCTGCCATGGACTGTTTGTCCTCCAACATGCTGCCCTGTCCTGAAGCCAGCAGACTATAAACTCTGAGCTAAAATACACCTTTTCTCCAACTTGTGTCTGATATTTTGTCCCAATGACATGAAAGTAGCTAAGATACATCACCACCCACCACCAAAAACTATTTTAAGCTAACATGGTTTGCTCTCCCTTTTGTAGCAATTGGATGACTCTATGTCTTTTCCTTATTTATTTTGTGTTTTGTTTTGTTTTATGTTTTTTCTGTTTTGTAAGTAAATTATGGACTTTATTTGTACCTTATTATTTTTTATTGTCTTTTTTTATCCTAGGATCCAGTCCAGGTACCTATAACATTTTCTTAGTATCTTTTTCTTTCTTTTACTATAGTTTTTCCCCCACATTTTTATTAGTTTATATTGGTTATAATGATCAATGGGTTTCACTTACACAGATTTGTATATGAATATAAACATGCCATAATCATCTCCCCTGCATAGTCCCTCTTGTCCCACGGTCTCCCTAGTTTCACAGTTCAGGGAAGGGTTGTTCAGTGTGTAAGGTAAGGAGCCCACTGTACGTCCTGCCTGTTGGAAAAAGCACCCATAATACAGAGTTGTGCAGCACAAGGCTGTGCTCATAGCACTCAGTCTGTGAGTAAGAGGGAAGTCAGCACAAGTCTTTACTGCTTTCTTTTTTGTTTCCGTCTTTTTGAAATAGGGTCTTGCTATGCAGTTCAGGCTGGCCTTGAGTTCACTTTGTAGCTCAGCCTGGTCTTGAACTCACAATGATCCTCCTGCCTCAGCCTCCCGAGTGTGGGGATTACAGGGGTGCGTCACCACGCGGGCAGCACAGGTCTTTACTGAAAGGAGGGGGCTCTAACGCTATCCAGCTGCACAGGGGCACCACAGAGCAAGCACCAGATTCTCACTGGAGAGAAAGAAGCTTCCCCAAAACTGCTGCAGCCCTCCTTCACAACGGCAACACTGAGACCCGGCCGGCCAGGTTCTAAGAACTCTTGTGGAGTCTGATATCTAGAAGCTCACTTTACGGAAGTCATCTTTAGCATCCAACATCCAGAGCGCATCTATCAAGTTTGCATCCAGAAGAGCAACTACCTTTCTCTCACAAAACCAAACCAAAATCCCTTAGTAATGTCAATTACGGGTACGAAGGAGAAAGCATTTTTATATCCTATTTTCTCCGTAAACGACGCATCCGTTTCATAAAAACTTAAAGACAAAAAAAAAAAAAAAAATCACAGGCACAGCTAAGGAGGGCTTGGCCACGGCTGAGAGTTCAGGGTGGCATAGCGCCCACCAGCCTCCTCCTCACCGGCGCCGGCGCGGTCAGCGGAGCGGCCGGGCTGAGCGGAGACTGAGGTTCTTCAGCGGTTCGGGGCATCTGGGCCAGGCTGGAAGAGGCTTGGCGAGGCAGCACCAGACAGGGCGGCCAGCACCGGGCTTGGCCCAAGATGCTGCATGTGCGGTTTCCCACCCCGAGCTCGGCGCGCAGCTGGCGCCCTTCCCGCGAGCCGCCTTTACGGGACGCCCCCGCCCCCTCGCACGCCCCCTCCTTGTCCCCACCTCCGCCGGGGGCGCGCTCTCGGGAGCGCGAGTCGGGCGGGACGAGATGCCTGAGGCCACGCCCTCGGACCCTCCCTGGCGGCGGAGATTGACGGGGCCCCGGCACCAGCCCCGACCAATGGGTGCGCGGCGGGGCGGGCCCTGGAGCCGGCTGCTCGGGTTACTTAGCGTCGCCGCGCGGGGCTGGGAACGCCGAGCCGAGCCCAGCACTCACCGGCCAGGTGGAGCTGCGCCTGGTCAGGGACGGCAGCCTCGCCCCCGCGCCACTGACAGAGCCCGCCGCAGCCCCTCGCGCCCCGGGACCGCGTGCACCGCTGGGTCTGAAGAGCCCATGGGGACCCGGAGACTTTAAAGGAGTTTGGGGTTCGGGAGCGGGGAAGTCACGGGTACGGAGGATCTGCTTTCTCGGCCTCGCGGACGTTCTTCCTGCCCCCGGTCTCAGATCGAGCGGCGAAGAGGAGGACGGGGGCTCAGGGCTGAAAGTGGAGCCCTCGGCAGCCCCCTGCTCGGTGCCCGGTCTCGCTTCCTCGCCGCCCCCTCCGTCTCTTTGTTCGGATATTTTAGACCCAGTAGCCTAGCTCTGCGCAGTCCGATTGGCTCTGCCGGGGACAGGGTTGGCAAAGTAAGGGGCAGAGTGCACCTGTCTGCGTGGGCAGGTGTGCCCGGCGCTTGCGTGTACGGGCATCGGCGAGTGTGCAAGCGTGGGTGTGGGATTGTGCACGAATGTGTGTAGGGGGGTGGTGAAGTGTGGCAGTGCGTCCTCGCGAAGGTTTGTCATTGTGGGTGTCTGTGACATTATCATCATGGGTGTCTGTGCCAGCCTGTGTTTGTACGCCAAGTGTGCAGAAATGTTGCCGCCTATGTGTCCGATTGTCATTGTGGGAGCCGCTGTCACGGGTGGGGTGCGACCTGTGCCACGCTGGGCGGTGGGCAGCAGAGGGTGGGGACAGGAATGTGATCGCAGCTTGCTAGGCTCCGGCTCCTTAGGTGTCTCTTGTCCCTGCCAGCCCACCCTTGCGTCCTGCCTCTACCCACGGGGACCCCTGCGCGCTTCCCTACCCGTGTGTCCTCTGCTGGGAGTTGCACGGGGTTCCTGCTCAGGGTGAGAGGTTGTGTGGGGCGTCCCCTTCGGCCCCCGATCGGTGGCAGCGTCTACACCTCCTTCCCAATCCTGGCTGGCACCGGTAATTCCAAGGGGCACACAGACTGGCAGGCAGGCCGGTCCCAGGAGCCCTGTGCGTCTTGGGGAGGGGTCAACCAAGAGGGTCACCCTGGCTCTAATTGGGTCCGCTTCTCCCTCTCCAGATCCCCGTTCCTGGCCCTCACCTCGCCGCGTCATTGATGGGCAACCAACTGGACCGCATCACCCACCTCAACTACAGCGAGCTGCCCACAGGGGACCCGTCTGGGATTGAAAAGGACGAGCTTCGGGTCGGGGTCGCCTACTTCTTCTCGGATGAGGAGGAGGACCTGGACGAACGCGGGCAGCCCGACAAGTTCGGCGTGAAGGCCACTGCCGGCTGCAGCCCCTGCCAGGAGAGCCCGGACCACCACCACCATCACCACCACCACCACTTGCTGCACCAGCTGGTGCTCAACGAGACTCAGTTCTCCGCCTTCCGGGGCCAGGAATGCATCTTCTCCAAAGTGAGCGGCGGCCCTCAGGGCGCCGACCTGAGTGTCTACGCGGTGTCCGCGCTGCCCGCACTTTGCGAGCCCGGCGACCTCCTGGAGCTGCTCTGGCTGCAGCCAGCGCCCGAGCCCGCGGCGCCCGCCCCGCACTGGGCCGTCTACGTGGGCGGCGGCCACATCATCCACCTGCACCAGGGCGAGATCCGCCAGGACAGCTTGCACGAGGCGGGTGCGGCCAACGTGGGCCGCGTGGTGAATAGCTGGTACCGCTACCGCCCACTGGTGGCGGATCTGGTGGTGCAGAACGCGTGCGGCCACCTGGGCCTCAAGCGAGAGGAGATCTGCTGGACGAACTCGGAGAGCTTCGCCGCCTGGTGCCGCTTCGGCAAGCGCGAGTTCAAGGCCGGCGGGGAGCTGCCGGCAGGCACGCAGCCCCCGCAGCAGCAGTACTATCTCAAGGTGCACCTGGGGGACGACAAGGTGCACACTGCCCGCTTCCACAGCCTGGAGGACCTCATTCGAGAGAAGCGCCGCATAGACGCCAGCGGCCGCCTGCGCGTGCTGCAGGAGTTCGCCAACTTCGTTCGCGACAAGGAGTAGCGCCGGGGCCGCCCCGGGCCTAACCCCCGCCCCGGGCCTGCCCGCCTCGAGCGCCCTGTGCCGCAGGTGCCAGCTCGGGGCTGAAGCCTCGATCCCGACTAGAGGGGTGGGAGGACCAGGCGGGGGCGCGGGACAGTGGGGCACAGGCGGCATCCACCAGTTGTAAGAGCAGAAGGGGAAGAGGGAGGGAGAGGGGCCAGGGCCGAGACCTTTCTCTCCAGCCAGCGGTCCGTGACCGCCACCCCCAGGGCAACTCCCCTTTACTAATTCCTGGCCGTCGCCGCCCTACCTGTGCGGCGCCCTACCTGTGCGCACACAGGCCAGGCCGGGGATGGCGAGCGTTCTCTCTGCAGGGCCCGCTTCAGCTCCGGTGTACACGTGGCCCCCGGATGGCAGGAATTCTAAGAACCCCAGGCGGCCAGTCCCTGGTGCCCTCATGAATAGCTTCACAAGGCCGTGCGCACAGACTCTGGGTGCCTGAAGCTGCCTGAGACCCCTGGCGCGTTGGGCTCTCCCAGCCCCAGGTCTTGTACTCCAGGCTCTGGGCTAAGCTGGGTAGTTTTCTCTTCTGCTGTTTGCCCCGAGGAGGCGCGCCCCTCTCCTCGCCAGTGCATCTCCCCGAGGCAATGGTCGCGGCCGCGCACAGGGGACGCGCAGCTGCCAGGCGAGGAGGGCGACTCTGCTCGGGAAGCCCCTGCTGCCGCCGTGTCTGGGAGCGGGACCAGAAGCAGGGCGCTGGTTGTTCTGAACCCCTCCTTGACTGCTCCTTCCTCGAGCTGCGTTTCAAAAATAGTCATATTTTTAACTGGGCCGGAGGCCAGGGAGGGGAGAGCAGCGACATTCCCGACACCAGCGTCAGGAGCGCAGCACCGAAGCCAGTCAGTTTAGTTCGGCTTTTCCTAACACAAAAACCCTAGCACACCGGGATGTGGAAACTAAGTTTCAAACGTGAGAGCTGAGATTTCCAACTATGCCGACAAAGCCTATCGTGTTGATGTTTTTATTGACCATTTAGCAACATGCTAATAAAATTTCAAATTGAAATTTTTATTTTCATGGCTTTACTCCATGATAGTTTCAATACTGGGGGCCATTAAGAGTGGATGTAGCTGAGAGCTTAGCTAACATTGCCTTTTTCACTGTTTTTCTCAAGTCTTAGGAGAATTCTGTTTTTTGAATATTGTAGTTTTTTCCTTTCTTTTGCTTTAAATAGCAGCCCAAGTAATGGTGGAGTTATTAATGTGTACATTGTACGGATTTCCATCAGGTAAAGGCTTATTTGATTTGGTGGAAGTTGCTGGCAGGTTCGGGGTGTGTTTTTTCTCCGTGTGGTACATTATCTCCTTTCACATTTGCATTTCCATTTTTTCCCCTCTCTTCCGATCTCCTTAAGAAGGGATCCAGAGTTTGTGGCTTTATCCACTCTTCTTCAGCCAGTCCCAGAATTCCCTAACACAGGGAAAAGCATGTAGGACCAGGACAAATACTTCCTTTTCAAAAAACTTAAGGTTGTGTGGAGCCGCTTCCATGGGGGGTGTATGACAAACTTCTCTCCTCTGCTGCAGCCCAGCCTGACTGATGCTGCTGGATTCATTGTTAGACACCTGACAGCATCTATGTCTCTTTGGAGGGAACTTGTCAAATACTGGTGTTTAGCTAATTGTTGCGAGCAGTTGCATATGGACAGCAAATGTTGTGGCCAAAGCCAGTTTATTGGCATTTCAAGACTAATGCAATAAAAACTAGTCGAAGTTAGCTAAGACTGGAAATGCCTTTTTCATAATAACCGATTCATTTCTCTCCTGCTTTTTTAGTTTCTCTTGGTTTTCATTCTGGATTTATTCCCTTATCTTGAATCAAAGGGTCAGATCAATGAAATATGAGGTAGAGTATTTTTCTTAAGCCTATTGAGCAATTTATTTTTTAAAAATGTTTAAATGCATATGTTTTTCTTTCAGCACATACAACAAACTTTTGTAATAACTAATTTACCTTTGCATGTATGGAGAATTGAAAATCATTTATTTGCCTAATTTATTCTCTCCAATAATAGATGGCAAATCATAAAATGAAATTCTTTACTGTATCTACGCACTCCATGTTCTTTACTGTGTCTCCTAATGTAGCTCGGCTCCCTGCTGTATTAAACACCATCCTAAGCACCTGTTCCCCCAGGACTCCTTCTTGACGTTTTGTCTACCACCTGTCACTCAAGTGTGCGACTTCAGCAACAGAAAAGAATCCATCTCTATCACACCTAACACCGAGGTGCATTTCCTCCGGTTTCCCCTTTCCTAAGAGGGTCGCTCTACTGGAGGAACGACAGTCAGCTTTCAGCTTGCTGAAACTATATGACAGTTAAAGATAACAGTTGGGCAATTAAAGTAGCATTAATTATTAGGCTGGTCTGTTAATGTGTACATTGTATGGATTTCCATCAGGTAATTTGGTTGATGACAATCATTCTATAAATTCACAATAGTAAAACACTGGTCACATAAAGAACATGAATAAGTTTAAGGTTTTTTTGTCATAAGCTGTTGACATGATTATCGTTTCTTGGTCAGTGTTAATAAAAATCAGTGGCAGAATATCAAGATACTATCTAAAAGCTTTATCCTGAAAAAGGCATATTTGTAGGGTATTATTAAAGATGTTACTGCATACAAAGCGGTGGCAGTTCCCTTTGTAGGCTCACTCAGCTTTCATCGTGGTGAATGTCGAAACTGTAGATTGTGTCGGAGTTACAAAAATTAAGACAGAAGCCTTTTAACATTTTCATAGGGTCCAGGAATTTAGCTTTGGTGTCGATTGTCCTTGGGAGACCAGAGCTTCATAGTCACATCCATGAGTGGCCAAGCTGGAGACTGGGCCTGTCTAGCCTTCTCCAGCAAAAAGGAAAGCTGTCTTTACCTCCCATTCCTTCTGAACTTTTTGGGATGATTGTAAAAAGCAAACCATTTTAAAAGAAAGAGAAGCAAGGTAGATATTTCTGAGTGAAGAGGAGGAGAAAAGAGGAGGAGAAAGAAAGGAGGACAAGAAGGGAGAAGTGGGTCCTGGGTACACTTTAAACAAAACCTAAAAGGCCAGCATTCCCAAAATGGGCTGCTGCTTCTCAAAAAGGGATCCTGCAGAAGTGCACATGTTGTGTTTTTTTGTAAAAAAAAAAAAAAAAAAAAAAAAGTAATATAGTAATGAGTCAAACTGACGCACATAGAATTTCCTCAGTATTTAAAACATTAAGTCCCTATCATGACAGCATTTTATTAAGAATAATATAAAGAGTAATGTAATATACTTGTTACAGATACAGCATCAAGCACAGAAGTGAATGTGTAAGTTCTGTGATGTTACACGATCTCACTAGAAATTTTTGGCAGTTTTCAGATTTGTCTTCCTTTTTTTGCCATGCTTTTTTGTTGAATAATTTTATTTGAGTACTACTTTTTCATAAAGGCATTCTATTGATATTTTTCAAAGTAATGAATTACCTGAATCACAAGTATACTCTTAACAGTCTTTGAACTTCACTTAGTTGATTACTTAGGTTTTGATTACTTAGGGTTTGCAAAGTACTGTTTTGCACAGTACTTTGTTTTTACCAGCCCTGAGAGTTCACAGTCTTAGTCATCTAATCAGTGGATGAAACAGGGTCAGTTTTCAGTGAAATTAACAATAAATTGCACAATCATAACAGCCACTGAATTCCCTTTGTCCCCATGAATAATTTCAGTTCTGTCTCCCTCTTTGCCAACCCCATCTTGATTCCAGGGCCATTTAAACAAATGAAAAGAATCTAGTTTTAAATAAATGAAAATAATCTAGTTCATGTTAGCTTCTCAGAGATATTTACCATACACACAAAAGTCTGCAGATTAAAAAAATGCAGACTTCCGGGTTGCTTAAAATATGAAGAGTTGCATCTAGAAAATTTTTAGATAAGGTCCTGCCTATTTTTCTCAAAAAATTATTAGTTATTATCAGGATATATATAAATACATATGTTTTCACATTCATATTCATTTCTGCCAATGGCTATTAATTTTTATTTCATTCACACACAAACGTAGACTTTCAAGAAGACAAAATCGAAAATGACCTTGAGATGTATAAAGCAAGAGGGAAGATCTAGGACTCAGAATAGTAATAGGGAGACAGCCAGCAAGAAGCTGCCTGGAACTAAACATAAACAAAAAGAACAAAGAAACGGGAGCTGCACAGTTGGCTTCCATCTCACCTCGAAAGTCCCTAGTTTCTCTGAAAAAGTAATTCAGAGGAAAGCTGAAAAGATTACAAAGTAATTGAAAAATAAGATGAAATAGGGAGTTTATGAGATGATATAAGAAGCTAATAAGTTTTCCAACAGGGGATACCTGCTCTCCATTCTAACTGAAGACAGTAGAAAAAAACCTAAAACCCAATTTTCCAACCCTTTAAGAATTTATAAGCTCCCCTGATTTCATAACTCAAAAGTTTACTTTTGAGGTTGTATATTTGGCGCATTTGAACTAGCAATATAAAAGGGTTAAGTATTTGAATATGTTGAGGAGAAAGGAAAAACATCTTTTCTGCCCTTGTTCTCGGAGGTGATTTGTACGATCCTTGCTCTTGCTGGCAGTTCACCCAGGTGAACGTTTTCCCGTGCTTTGGTTGTTTTCCAGTCTCTCTATCATCAACACACCAGTGTCCATGAATACGTGATGGTGGCATCTCATCAACAGATGTGGTTCTCACTGATTCCTGATTATCAGGAAATCCAGAAAGCTCACTATTTGGTTTACGTGTGAAGGGGAAAATGAAGTTTAACTGAGATTGGCTGCATTTTCAGCCCACGAAAAGCTCATGGCAATCCATTTTATGACTTGAAGCTGATTAATTTCACTTGTATTTGGAATGTTCAGTTTGTTCCTAGAAAAAAAACTATTAAAGAATCTAGGAAACATTATTTGGTCAGAAAGGGGAAAGCAAACTAATAATTTGGACTATAATTTCTCACAGCTTCATCTCTTATTCACCTCCAGGAGAGATTTTTTTTTCTTGCATGAAATCACAAGATTTCAGAAGAAGCTTATTGTTATAGCTCCTGCTAAAAATTTTC